TACATGATATGTAGAAAGGCAATCAGTGCTTTAGTCCAGTAAGAAGACAGTAAACAGGTGAAATGACCTTCAAAACTTCAACTCACTGTCTTTTAAAAAAAAAATACAATTCAAGTGATTTTTATTTCACCTTGTAAACAACATACAAGTCAAAATGGACAATGAGGTAATCTATACTACAGAGGATAATTTAAAACCACTAGATAAGACACAGTATTAAAGACATATAGAAATCAGTGTTCACTTTGGTCTCTAGTATGGTTATTGTTGTTATTACCATGAGCAACGCATACTAGTTAAACCCAGTCTGGTGATGTTTGTCAACCAGTTGTTGCTTAAATAGTAATCCAAGAGGTAGTCAAGACCATCATCCTTTTAAAAGCTAGTTACTCTGACACTTGGTTTACTGACAGTGGTAGTAAATATCTGGGGACTTTCCAATATTCTCATAAAAATTCTACCAGAGTCATTAAATTGCAGCCCTGTTTAAGTATAAAACAGAAATGTGTGTTCATAGATCAACCTCACCAGTCAACAAGTATGACAGAGGTAACACAACCAACATATCTTAAAGAGGCTGTTGATAGTAACCAAAATAAGGTCTGATGCATTTAACAAGGCTTTGCTTGTCTCTAAAACAAATAATCAAATCTCATTAAGATACCTAGAAAATTAAAATTAGTGCATCTGCACATGTACATATCTTTCCCAATTACTTTTAAATCCAGCACAGGGGAATACACATATATATTTTTATGATAAACATTTTCTTACAGATAAATTAATTTAAATTAATTTTAAGACTTAATGAGATTTCTCATGCCCTTTTATAATTCTTCTTACAAAGAATGTTACAAGATCTATAAACACTTTTATGGGGCTCTATTCACAAAACTAAGTATATAACTAAGCAGTAACTCTGGGATAGCACTGGTGCAAAATAAAATTGAGCCAAAAAAGGGGAAGGCTTTAGGATTAAAACATACTACATTTGGCAGTCCCCAAAAGCTGATTAAAAGCAGAACATTTTGGAGGCTAAAGATGCCAAATTTGACAACAATTACAACAAAAATGCCCACTTGATTCTCCCCTCCCAAAATAGGCTCTTAAAAAAAAAAAAAAAAAAAAAAAAAAAAAAGTTTAATCTTTTCAGTATGCAAGTGTGCACCTTGTTTTAGCTTTTAGTGGGGCAGGAAAAAATCATCCCACAATGTCTTCTGAGAGGAGATCAAATCCAGTATCTTATTTTAGATGGGGGAGGAGATGCAGAAGGAGAGAAATTCCCCATATTTTAAATTTCATCTCCAGTAGTGTGGGGAAGCTAGGAGTACAGCTCTTCCAGAAACTATTTTAATACAACTATGTGGACTGGTTCCATTGTGAGGTGTTCTGGCACATTTAGTCAGGGATATGGGAATCAAGGCTGCTCCTATAATGGGCTCTTAAATGGAGAATACTCTTCACTTCATTGTCAAAAGTGAAGGAACAGTGGGAGGACCCCAAAACGTGGATCTGCCCCATAAATGTATAGGATTCCCAAGGACCCATAAAGCTCCTTCTCTTATTCATTTGAAGCAGCTTATTTAATCTGAGTAATTGGGGATGAAAATCAGACATTCTGTTGCAATCCAGTGCTAATTAGTTACTTATCACAGCTCTGCAGTTCTGTAATTAGCTTTAGTGCAGGGATTGGCAACCTTTGGCACGTGGCCCGCCAGGGTAAGCACCCTGGCAGGCTGGGCTGGTTTGTTTACCTGCCACGTCTGCAGGTTCGGCCGATCGCGGTTCCCACTGGCCGCGGTTCGCTGTCCCAGGCCAATGGGGGCTGTGGGAAGCGGCAGGGGCTGAGGGATGTGCTGGCCGCCGCTTTCTGCCGCCACCATTGGCCTGGAGCGGCGAACCGCGGCCAGTGGGAGCCACAATCAGCTGAACCTGCAGACGCAGCAGGTAAACAAACCGGCCCGGCCTGCCACGGTGTTTACCCTGGCGGGCCACATGCCAAAGGATGCCGATCCCTGCTTTAGTGTCTGTGTTTTGTTGTTTGTGAACAGTGCCCACAATCCTTTTGATGAAAAAAAATATAAACTGTAAAGAAATGTTTGGAGACTTTTCACAATTTCAAACGGATGCTTCATTTTAAACAAGTATTTGCTCTAAAGTATGCAGTGGTGAATTACCAATTTACATATATAGTACAGATAAAAAGGTATGTACCATAGGATCAACAGCCACCTTTAAGGCCAGAGCAGCACAAAGGTGTGTTTTATGCAGTAAGTATGAGGTAGCCTTTTGCTGTAAACAGAATAATAATTTTATTGTTACCTATGTAAACGAAGTGGGCTTGATAGTTTTTTTTTCAGATGGTCTGAGCACGTATAACTGCTATTGGAAATCAATGGGAGCTGCAGCTGCTCAGCATATCTGAAAATCAGACCCTGTGAATGTAAAGTCACAAATATTCACATAAGCAACCAGTACAAGAATACGGCTTTATCACTTATTTTCACAGGAAATCATAATACAAAAAGTTGATATCTGATTATAAGAAACGTAGGTGTATGTCAACTCAGAGGTAGTTATTATTATCAGTATACAATACTTATATAGAGATATAAAGGTCTAAATCTATTTGGTTTTGTTCTGAGTAAGCAGGCCTGTAGACTATTCTGTAAAGAAAAAATAACATTACATGGTATATTCCCTGAGCAAAGTTCTTTGTCCTGAGTATGCTATGTAATAGTGATAACATTCTAATATACAAAAATAAAACCTAAGCTTTCAATAATAAGATAGGTTTGGTATGTGCTCTTAGCAGTTCAGTCTGGTTTTGGTGCACAAAACAATGTCAAACTGCACCAGGAAGGTCTGTATGTCAGGATTACTTATTTCCTAATGATCTCAGCTCTGAACTTTTTATATGTAAACAGGGAATGACCAATTTTCAAATCCACAATGGCCTATTTCTATAAGGAACTTTGGTTTAAATTTTCAAAGTGACCTAAGTTTTGCATCTTTGCTCTTTAACCTGGTTATTACACCTGCTAGAAGGTTAAGCAATGCCACTTTGATTTGTCTACATAATTTAAATAAGTTTACAATCCTCACGTAAGGCAAGGAAGTACTTCTCTATAGATACATCACATTCAATATCGTCAAAGGTAAGCTTTGCATTACAGCATACTGAGAACGTCAGTACAAACCATTGAGATTCTCACAAACACTGTCATGGAATTCAAGCAAAGTTCATCTGCAGGACTCCCGCCCTATGCGGAGGCAGCTGATCCGTATCTATTTACTGCAGCAGCTACAGTAAAAGTTTCATGTGGCAAGACAATTTGGGGAGGGAGGCCTTGGCATATAATGGGCCTTATGCACTGCTGGTGTAAGGCCACTGCAGCCAATGGCATTACAACAGAGATGAATTTGGCCCACTATAGCCTTTTCATACATGCTATATTTCTTTTTTGATTATCTGAGCTTAAACCTACCTTCCTGTCTCAATTTTTGTAACCGCCTATGTTTATTGCCAATGTTAAGGATTATACAGATTTCTCCAAAGAAATTACATCTGCAATGGAATGGTTAGAAGGACATTTTCTTAGGTATAATTTGTTAATCTACCAATTGCAAATGGACCAGGTTACGGGTGGCCAAAGTGCAGCCATGGGTTGGTTAAAGTGCAGCCCAGCGAGTTTTAGAATGGGGCTTGCAGACACATTCATCTTCAGTGCAGAAGAGCAGTCCTAGCATGCACTGAGCCGAGGCTGGTCTGCAGTCTTCTCCATTTCATGGAAAGCAGATGGAGTCCTAGGGCTTCTGGCAAGTGTCGCAATGTTTGCATGTCCCTGCTCTAAGGCCTCTCTGCATCAGCTGTGTATGTTCTTCATTCAATACTGTACTTTTACTATATGAATAGTAGGGGATGCTGATCAACTGTAAGTGTCCATACAGTTTTATTCTCCACCAAGGCTGTACCCCAATATGTCATTAACTTTGTGTTTCTTTTTCCTTTATCTTAAAAAACCCTAGGGAGTTCTCTCCATGACTTTCAGTAGTAAACAAGGGGGAAATCCCCTTGATCTGTACACTGACTCAGGGGGACAAATTGGGACCAAGGGAAGCAGCTTCTGCCGCCACCCTACCCCCACCCCCCAGATTTTCACAAAACTCAAAGGGGGCAAACAGGGTGGTAGCTTGATATCACTCAAACCAATCAGTTCAGAACAACTGACACATTCTCCCCCACACAACGGTCACCTAACTTAAAATTAAACCATATTCATTTAACACAACATTTGAGATCTCAGCACAGAAACTACACATTCATTGTCTTTTCTGGAGTCTTAACTCCTGAACAAAGATTGTGGCAACAGAGCCATACTTAATCAAGGCATGCCCTTGACAGGTGTGGAGAAAAAAACAACATTGCTACACTTTGGGCATCAAGAACAAAATATCTACCCAGAATAGAGGGTTAGGGGAATGTCTTAGTATTCTTAGTACCGTATCATTGGCAGCTTTGAGAGGTGAAGTATCCTTTGGTTCATACAAAAGTAACAGTCATGATCTTAACTGGTTTTTAAAGCATGTTTCAAGATTGCTGCCAGGAATGAGTATCCAAAAACATTCTGAATCATGACTATTGCTTCACAATGGATGATGTATCCTGGGAAATGGAGAATGTTCTGCTGGTGTGTGTATGTATACATATACAGAGATAGAGATAGCAATTATAGATATGTATACATACAGACAGAAGGACATGATAGAGACACATGCACTCATGGACATCCACACACACAGGCAGTAAAACACAAGACACCCTGCTCAAATGTAATTTGCTTGGAGTGATTTGTCTATTTAAAAAAAAAAAAAATTCACAGTTCCTCAACAGTAGTTAAAATTTCAGGTCAGCTACTGATAGTGAAATTACTTCCGCTGTTCTTGCATGAGGTAGACATTCCAAGAGGGTAAAGAAAATGAACGGTTACGACAAAGCTCTAAGTTTTTTTCCTTTTTTGAACAGAAGGCCCCTTTCTGCTTTGTTCTTCAGGTGATGCAGATAACTTACTGGAGGAAGCTTCTTGTGGTGACCTGCCTGAACGTTCTAAGATCTCTGACCTTCCCTCCTGAGAATATGATGGAGATGAATGGCAGTAAGCCCCTCCCCCTTCTCTCAGGAAAGCAGAAGTGGAAGGCTGTGGTTCTGCTTCATATCTTCCCTGAGAACTAGTGGGCTGTTGTGAAACAGTTTTATGAGGGCAGTTAGCCACCATGTGCATGATGCTCTGACAGTAATGGCACTTCTTTGGCTGTGGAGGTAAACTACATTCCTTAGCATGATGATCAAGGCCACCACAGTTGTAGCATCTACAAATGAAAAAGAGAGTCTGTTATAAAATACGTCAATAAAAATATTCTTCAAAACATGAAAGAAAGAAAGAGGAAGAACCAAATCTTATGTGTAAACAATTTTTAATTTAATGTGAAGACACACAGCACATTTGTAAAACAGTGGGAGTTTCCACTCAATATTTTATAGTATTTATTTTCTGGCTGTAAGGATTTAAGGTGAGATATTTTTCAGAAGTTTCTGAATGATTTAGCAGCACAAGTTCCACTGAAAGTGAATAGGACTTGTGCTCCTCAATCACTTAGGTACTATGAAAATCTCATCCTCATTTAGGCCAGATTCTGCCACCTTCATTCATACTGATTAGTATCTTCCTCCACAAGCACTTTGGTATCACTCACACAGAATCTGGCCCTTAATTAGAGTCTGATTCAAAGCCCATTGAAGTCAGTGGGAGTCTATCTACTGACTGAGTCCTAAGGCCAGATTTTCAAAGGTATTTAGGTGCCTAAAGATGCATTTAATAGCTTTAAAATATAGCCTAGGTACACAAAAGGTGAAGTTCTAAGGGCTTTTTTGTGTGAGACCCAACAGTCCCCGACACTGTGTGCAAATACATTAGAAAAATATATGAAGGGAATAATAATGATTTTATGTACCCCTCAGTGGCAACAAAAGTTAAAGTCCAGAATCAAAAATAAGCTTTATAGTTTATTAAACTGTAAAAATGGGTATTTGGACTCTGCCAAAATGTACCAGTTGTGCTTCCCTTTAATAAATAATCTCAGAGAATGTGCTTGGGTTGATAACATTGAAATGGTCCACTAGAGGGCACCAAATATTCAAACATGTGCCCACAATAAAGTCTGTAGCTCATGTAATGTAGATTAAATATCTTTACTTCAATATTTGTAGCAATAAACTGTTTGAGTGCTAGTGTGTTTAATTTGGGCTAATGGCTGAAGGTGTTGCAAAAAAAATTAGGCTATGATGGCCTACAAGTTCATCCTCACTAATTAGTCCTGTTTGTGCCATATTAGCTACTAGGTGGAGAAGAATCCTCTGTTAAAAGTTGAATAATATGGTGAAATTTGATAAGAAAGAAGTTCATGCTTTTTGACAAACAGTCCCACAGTTTACCCAACCCTTCCAAAGGAATACACCACCATAAAAATTGTATGGCATCCACATTAGTCAAATCCAACAGAGCAAAGGGGATGTTATGATGATAATGGCTAGATCATTTCCCCCACCAGGTAACGGGAAGGAAATCTCTGCAAAGGTCCCTTTTGAAGAGGAGTTCCTCCCTGATTCTTTCCTCTGTGGGGCAGAGAAGTGGAGTTCAACCTCCCATGATCCAGGAGGTTTGTAGGAGGCTGGGCTGGAGGCAGTTCTGGAGCTCGGGGGTTCTCCCCATTGCCTGCTGTCGCATGACTTCTGTGAACTCTCCTGGCCCAGGCTGCCCCTGGACCTCCCTTAAAGGTATGTTCTCTCACCATGGAGGAGGTTCTGTAGGAAAAGTTATACAATCTTGTGTTCTGTTACCTTTCTCAGTAATATGTGCAGGGATTAGTAGGTAGGGGCAATGATGTGCCCCCACCCCCAGCTCACCCACCAGATCCCAACAGTGATGCAAGGGGAATGGTGTCATGGACCCAGCTGCCTGAGTGGAAGGTCCTCTCCATGCCTGAATCATTGGGACATAGTAAGAGGGGGATGGAGGCCAGGAGGAAGCTTTTGGCAATACCTATTGCTAAGAGGTTACAGCATGGTTCTGAAAATATAACAGTGAGAGTCATAAAATGGGTTTATTGTTTTCTTCCTTGGAAACCCAGAACTCAACCCAATTAAATTTAAGTCTTCCAAAACCAAATAGAATGTCCAACTATTACATGGCTTTAGCCTTTAAAACCAATGATTAAACACATAGCCAGAATGTAAATACTATACTGGTAATCTTGTTAACTAAGGGCTCAATCCTGCAGTCCTCAAGCAATACCTCACTGAATGATCCTTATTTATATGACAGGCTACATTTATGATTTCTTAAAATGTGCACAGTATACATTCTTGTACTATTTGCTAAAAAGAAAATAATTGCACAAACTGTTAAGTCATGCCCAGAATGCAGGTCTGTGAAGTTAATTTCTTTGATGTAATAGGACCATCATTCATCTTGACCTTTGTATAGATATTTGCTGTGTTTCCATAATTAGTAATATACATCTTACACATGCATAAATTTAATTCATTGTTTACCATTTTACTGAGGAAAGTGACACCAAATCATATGATGTGATTTCCATGCTTAACTTACAAACCCATTAAACGAGAGAAATAGTGCTTACACAGACTTGCTCCAAAGCCCACTGGAGTCACTACGAACTTTTCTATGGCCTTCAATGGGCTTTGGATCTAACTCACAGTTAGATATTTTAAAATTGCAGATCACTGGAAAATTGCAGTTTTAGCCAGAATCCTGCAAACACTTATGCACATATTTAACTTTGTGACTGTTGTGTTCGTCTACTTGCATGCCCAAACTTAAGCATGGGTGTGTATGTTTGCCTTAGCTTATGAACTAGATTTCACTTTTGGAAAAAAAATTGCTAAAAACAGTATACAGTTCATACCAGCCTTGAAAAATTGCCATGAATATTTCCAAGCAAGGAAGGGGAACCCTCTCCCTCTAACAATTCTTGCCCACCCATTAGAATGATCAAAAAAATTCCTTGCTTTGGCCAAGCTGAATTTTGCAAGGGCAATTTATAACTTGAATAAGTCAAACGATACATAGAATTCCAATGATTTTTTTTAAAAAATCCTTGCATAGAATGTTGTAATGACATCAATTGTGCTCAATTTTTAGAAGTATAACAAAAAAAACCCCCTAAAATTAGTCTTTAGGTGGCTTCAGATGAACTGCTAACATTTTTAAATATTCAGTATACATCTGTTTTTTGTGTAATAGGCCAGTAGGATTGAAGAACTCTTTCTCAAACTGAGTCTGTTTGCATGTATTGTAAACTGACCCAGCAATCTTAATTACCCCCTGCCGTTGAAAGGAAAAACAGAAAATAGGAAAGGTTTTACAAACCACAGTCATCTAGCATTTATTTCCCCAATATTTCAGCAAGATTAAATAAAATGTTAGCTATTTCACATGCATCCTATTCTCTAAGACCAAAATGATAGATATTTCCTAAGTTTAGTAAAAATGTTTTCATGTATTAAACATTGTACATTGGTTTCCTTTCCCTCAGTCACTGAAGCTATTTCAAAACAAATGACCAAATTAACATCTCTTATTGGTATATAGCTATGCTTGTCAGATAAGCTTTCTCTAAAACCACTAGATAAAACAATGAGTGACAACTGAAAAATAATGGCAATGATCCCTTCCGTAAGCCCCCTTCCCCCAAAGTTCTAGAAAGATACTAAATAATAAGGGGGAGGGGTGTTATGATTTAAATTTGATATTAAAGAATGGCATTTTCTTGATATCTTTCTATATAGTATAGGATATTTATTCTGTGACTTCTTATCTATGTGTTAGTAAGGATTGTAAACCACTTTGGGAATGATATATCTGACCTTAATTCTGGAGAGAATTTTATAGTTGTAAATTTAACTTATTTTCACTTCCTTCCTTTAGGATCACATTCATCCAGAAGCTTCCTCTCTCTCTCTCTCTCTCTCTCTCTTAAAAGAGTTCGAAAATAGGTTAAAGGGCCTCAGTAATAGAGTAGGCTGCAGCCACGGACAAATCAATTTAATCAGTCACTATGGTATGCACTGTGTTATCCAATTCAGTGAACCATTTCGCCTCACCAATTGACCAAGAACCTGCTGGCAGGGCCCCCACTTCCACTCCAGGGGCCTCAATCAGCTTTTGCATCTATATTTATCATTACATCCTGCTTTCAAAATAGTTTAACCCCCTCCCCCCCACCTGCCAGTTTTCTTAAATTTCTGGTAGCATTTTTTTGTTGCCCTTGTTTTAATAAAAGCCGTTATAATTAAACTGTAATTTGGCTTTTCAGCCATGTTTCTGTCACCAAGCAAGTCAGCCTGCTGGTTGAAGTGTTGCATTAAATTGTGTATGTGCCTGTTCGTGTGCGCCTGGACTTAAACAGGAGGGTGGTATTTATTCAGTTCTTCTGACTATTTATTCGTTCCTTGTCAATCACTCTTACCAGCAGGACAGATCACACCCCATTCTGAAATGCTTTCGTTCTCATGGGATTGACACCAAAATGGAAATGGTCAGCCACCTTGGAGCACACAAATGATACCACATGGTATCATTCATGCACATTGAAATGTGGTATTAACCCTTTTGTTCTAGCTGAGAATTCAAAATACAAACTGCTTGTAATTGCTAATGTGTCAGCTGTATATTCTTACCTTACACCACAATGAAATGAAACCTAAAACATTATGATACACAGACACAGGCTGATCTATGTATAGATTTGTATATTCTTATGTACACACTGTATACATAAATATACAAAACAATAGACAGGCAAGCTTATGCGAAGGAAAATTAAGCAAGTTCACATTTGAACATGCATATATAATCCAAACCAATAACACTGGAATAAATGATTATCCAAAATAAAAATACCACTGAAACATGGTGATTAACTCAGCATCTTAAAATAAAGTTAAAATAAAACAAACTACTATACATCACATGATGTCTAGGTCAACATAAAGTCTAAAGCACTGCTAAAACAAGTATGAGCAATCCTGATTCTGTTTCTTGGAAAAGATCTGCTATAAAAGGAACAGCCCTTCATAGTCTTAATAGGCTCTGATAATTTATTAGGTGACTGCATGCTCAAAACCTAAGGCAACATGAAGTATAGATAAAGAGATGACAATTATCCTAAATGGGAACACTGCCTCAGCACAGTTAGCTGAGTAAGGGAGGTAGATTAAGACTGCTTCTGAGACACAAGGAATGAAAAATTTCATGAAATGAAAGCCTTAGGAAATCTGTCTAGCACCA